TCCTATGTATAAAGATTGATTCTAAAAAAAGTAAGAGTTCCCTTCGGAATTGTATCCTCCCATTGCTCTATTGGAGATAGCATGCAGCCCATAATGGGGATAGATATATAGAAAGTGTGCAGTGAGGGAGGTAGTCAATCTTTACTTAACTCGACCCAAGCTTGACTTAGTAGCCCCAGCAATGCCCAAAGACTCCCATGCCTTTCTTGGTTGGACCAACCTAACCAATAATTTCTATCTTCTTGAATTGGAAGAGTTAGAATCAGTCTTTCTTTCTTTTTTTGGGGGGGGAGCAGAGCAGTCCAAGAACGAACCAAAGCAAATGATTGTTCTAGAATGGTTATTCCTCATAATTTCTCCTTGTGATGCAGTGGAACCATGCCAATTAGGATTTCAAGACCCAACAACACCTATGATGTAGGGAATAATAAACTTACATTACGATATCTTTTTCTTCCTCATTTTGATTTTTGTTTTCGTATTACGGATCTTGGTTCGTGCTTTATAGCATTTCCACCATATAAAAAATCCAATCCCGCAGAGGATTGTTCATGGAACTACTATCGAGATTCTTCATACCATATTTCCTAGTATTATCTCGATGTTCATTGTTATGCCATCATTTGCTCTCTTATACTCAATGGACAATGTAGTAGTAGATCTAACTATTACTATCAAAGCTATTGAACATCAATGGTATCGGACTTATGAGTATTCAGACTATAACAGTTCCGATGAACAGTCACTCACTTTTGACAGTAATATGATTCCAGAAGATGATCAAGAATTGGGTTAATAATGTTTATTAGAAGTGGAAAATAGAGTAGTTGTACTAGCCAAAACTTATCTAGGTATTATTGTAACATCTGCTAATGTACCTCATAGTTGGGTTGTACCTGGTCGTTTAAATCAGATCTCTATTTTGGTACAACGAGAAGGAGTTTATTATGGTCAATGAAGTGAAATATGTGGAACTAATAATGCCTTTACGTGTGCACCATGAAACATAGGCGGACTGCT